TCAGGTTGTAACGGTTTGTTAAGCACCCGTAAGCTTAACGGAAGTAGTGTAGCTCGAGAGAGTCTCTCGGGAGGCTGGATTAGCCACAAGTTGTGGTGAACCAGGGTAAAATTCGGTGTGCCTCTTACTCTTCTCTTTACTTCTCTTTTAAGTTTTTTTTATTCCTGCGATTTCTACGATCAAACGCTATTCACCCCCCCTCTAGCGTTGGTCACTTATTCTAACAATTGGTATCGGAGCCTAACTCGCGTCTAAACTTAACCGTTTGAGAGTAAAGCGATCATGGGTTCTTCTTCTAGAAATCTTTATGCAGGGATTGGAGAAGGTCAATCAACTACACGGCCACCTCTTTTTGATGGAACCAATTATACATATTGGAAAGAACAAATGAGAATCTATATTCATTCCACGAACTTCCAATTATGGTTGGTTATCAAAAACGGGGAAGAGGTGCCGATGAAGAAAGTCGGAGACAAGTTGATCCCCAAGACCGAAGACGAGTTTGATGCCGAGGACATCAAAAAGGTCGAGAATTACGCAAAGGCAATAAACATGCTTTATTGTGCCGTAAATCCTGACGACTACCGCAAGATCTCCTGCTGCTCAACCGCCAAGGAGATGTGGGATAAACTTGAGGTGACGTACGAAGGAACGGACCAAGTACGTGAAGCCAAGATTGACTTCCTCACCCAAGAATATGAGATGTTCAGGATGAAGGACCACGAGAAGATTGACGACATGTTCGACCGATTTTCCAAGATAGTCAACGATCTTCATGCATTGAAGAGGACTTACACCGACAGGGATCTTGTACGAAAGATCCTACGGAGCTTGACATCCGAATGGCGATCTAAGGCCGATGCCATCTATGAGTCAATCGGCACATCAAATGTCACCATTGACGGTTTAAGAGGTAACTTAAAAACTTATGAATCTACACTTAACCCGTCTTTGAATGACCAAAGGAAAGGCATAGCATTAAAAGCCTTCAAAGAACCAACGATGAATGACTCAAGCGACGATGAAGTCAAGCATGTCATGAAGAGGTTTTGCAAACTTCTAAGAAAAAAAGAAAAGGTTGAGGATGGCCCTGTGTGCTATGGATGTGGTGAAGCCGGGCACATCAAGAACAAATGCCCGAGAAACGGAAGGAACACTCGACACTTCAAAAGGCAAAGGGCGTATATCTCTTGGGGTGGAGACTCCGGCGACGAGTCAACCGACCAAGATGAGGATGAAGTTGCCAACCTCTGTCTCATGGCACACG